CTTCCTCCCCCACAACAAACACTCTGTTAGGTGAGTGGGGCTGAGAGACTTCAAGAAGTGCAACTGGTCCAAGGTCACCCAGCAGCTGCATGTGGAGGAGCAGAGACGCAAACCCGGTTCATCAGATTACGAGCCTACCGCTCTTAACCACTACACCACACTGGCTGGCGAAGATATTTGACATCAGCCACTAATAGCAGCTTCAATGACTCACAGAGGGCTTCCTTGAGGAAATCAATGAATACGTCCAACCTTAGCGAGGTCGACTCGGTAATCAATGCGGTTGCTGACCTCGGCGTGGTGTTGTCCTTCAAGGCAAACGCATAAGGTGGGTCTAATTGGTTTGGCAACCTTAGAACATGGGCTGGCAAGAGACATTCTATATGACACAAGGAAGGATGTGCTACCCACCTCTCCAACCAGCCTAGGAAATGATGCTAAGACTTAGGGCTCATCCAAACCTGCTGTTTACCACTGAATCAGTTTTTTCTGACTGTGGATTGAGGTTTGTTTTGATTCGGTGGCATACAGCAGGTTTTCCTGGGGAAAGTGTTGAGGTGTGTGGGTGAGCCCTAAGGTAGACGGGGAAAGGAAATGTAAAAACGCTTCAAAATTGTGTAAGGAAATAAGAGTGTTCAGGTTAAAAGTGGGGAGCTGAGCGTCAGAGATCTAAGCTTTGGAAGGCCCCCATGAGTTGTAGTTGATGCAGTACAATTATCAGACTAATGCAGTTTCCTAACTGGGACAGATGATCCTAGCTCAACAGTCTCTATAGCATTTCATTGGCACAGAATATTTGAACTGGGCTACCTGCAACAAAGGCTGAGCTTTTTAACGTCAGCACCCCACCAATTATTCTCAGAGCTGGCCTATATTCCCCTTGGAGGCTTCTAAAGGCAGTTCGCAGACAGAAGAGAAAGGGAAGGAAATAGCTAAAAATAGCCCTGGTGGGTTTTGATTTCTCCATTATGTACAAATAATGTCTCTTCTCTTTGTTCTATTGGATTTCTTGGCTTTTTCTGCCACAGCAGCAGAGGCACACACAGGCTTATCAAATTCTGCAAGATTATTACAAAAAAAACCAACAACCCGCAATTACTATAGCCTCATCTGCCATAAAGAAAAAAGAGGTGTAAGAGGCTAAGGCTGCGATCCTTTGCTCTTACCTGAGAGTTGGTCCTCTTAAGTGGGACTTACTTCTGAGTAAAAATTTATGGGCTTGTACTCTTTGTGATCTAGCAATGTTCTTTTCGGCTTTTGTACAAGTGTGATGTGCCAGAATATTTTAAGTAAGTTTTAGTGCCCAGCACAGTACAGGTATTTGAACTCAAAGTGTGTTGCTTTAATCACAATTGAATAAAGAAATTACCAGCTTATAATAGTTTCAAAATGAGTGAAAACCGACAATAACTGGCTTTTTAATATCTGTTTGTGAAAGAGAAAAAAGAAAATGGAAGCTTTTTGCTTAAACCAGAACCTGTTGATACATCAGACATCATAAACATGTTAGGTGTGATATGGCCATATCAAAAAGGATAGTTTCTGACTGCTGTAATTTAGTCACAGCCTGTTTCCCCATCTAACCTGCTATGAGCTCCAAATTGTGTTACTGTCAATCTCCGTAATATGGACCTTGTGACTGAAGTTTCAGAGTCAGCTGTAGCCATGAGCGCTACATGATTCATGAACAAGGTGATTATTCAACATTTACAACACTGGGACTTTCAAAAATGGCAAATGCTTCAGCTGATGCACTGATGTCTGGTCTCTGTGGGTGTGATTAGGGAGAAGTGTGTTGTATCTGCATGTTTTGTGCTGTATTATGGACAAAGCATTTGCAGAGGCTTGCTTAGAAAGTTACAGAGCAAAGTAATTAGTGTTGCTCACTTGGCCAAAACTCACTTCAGGCTGACTCCGAATGAGGCAAATAAAAACTTGGATCAGATGGTAGATTGCTATGAGGCACATTTAAGAGCAGATGACTTTCAGGAGGTTGGAAAGAGCCACCGGGCAAATAAGCATAAAGGAAAACTGTTCCTATTGAGACACTCTTGAGAGATAACTTAAATAGCTCAACATACATTTGAGTTCTCTTAATAAAATTAATTCTGCAGCTCGGGATTGAGTTTCTGATGAATCTTTTTCCAAGGTAGATCAATGAGGGGTGGGGAGTGTCCTGGAAACTAACCAAAATTTAAATAGCTTCGGCCATTGCATATTGAGATGATTATTTCTATGCATTGTGAAACCGAAGCACAATCCTGACACCACTCATTGAGATGTCCAAAGAAACCGAGAACTCATACAAGCCGAGATAAGAGTTTTGCGTTATGAGCACATAATACCAGGTAACCATGCGAATAAAAAGAATAACAAACAAGATAATGAATGTGGGGGAAGGTCTCCATCTCTTAATGACACGCATGTTGTCATTCTGTTAGTGAACAGGGTAGGCAGCCTTTCCCCTGGGAGCTAATCTGTTAGGGGCAGTGGTGGGAAGATTTGTGGATAAGGCTAGTACACACTATAGATCAGCTCTAACTCTACTGTTGGAGGAATTATACATCTGAATGCTGGTTGCTGGGACAACACATGGAGAGAGTGCTATCATGTTCATGTCTTGCTTTCGAGCATCCCATAGGCATTTGGCTGGCCACTGTGAGATGAGAATGCTAGATGGTTAGCCATTGGCTTGATCCAGCAGGTGGGTCCGAGGAGAAAATGGGGAGGGGCCATAGCTCAGCAGCAGACCATCTGCTTTGTGTGTAAAAGGTCCTGGCCTCTCCAGATAGGACTGGGAGAAAGCCCTGTAGGAAACCCCAGAGAGCTGCTGCCTGCCCGTACAGACAGCACTGAGCTAGCTGGCTGAATACAAAGCAGCTTACTATTCTGGATAACACTAGAGTGATAAATATTGCCCTCCTTCAGTTTTCACCATGGCTGCCTCAAATTCTAGGATGATCTGCTCAGAAGTAAAATAAAGTAAAAATTATTTCTGAGTAGTCCTACAGAAGACTGAGTACTAGAACAATACATTTGGGAAAGCAAATGGAAGTAATTCTTTTAGGACTTTAGGTGACACACAGAGTGTGTGTGGCAGAGGACTACCATCCCCCCCCCAAGGTTAAAAACTTATTTTCTCCTACCAGAAAAAACATCAAAGTATCACTTGTTTTTCTCAAATAAAGCAGCACCTTCCAATTATTCTGGAGCTGCATAGGAAGAAGAAAACACACCTTTAAAGGCCAGGAAAATAGGGAACAAACAGGATGGAAGGAACTCTGATGGGATGGGAGAAGGGGGCAGCTTCAGGAGGCATTAGGCACCCTAGTTGCACACCTGTGCTATAGTGCTTTAAAATAATGCAGTTCGAGACAGCAACATTCTTTCTCTGAAATATCCGAACACCCCACATCCCTCTTATAGCTTAAAAGGACTCCTGAAAATGCCACACATTTAAATGAAAATGTGGCCAATATTTTCAGGTCTTTGCTTTCTCTCCTCATGGTCCAGTCTTGTGGAATCATAAAGGCTTGTGGCAACGAAGCCGTTACGTTCTGCATCCTGGATTACTGACAACAGCTAAATGCTGGAAAAAGGCGAAGCTGGATTTCAAAATTTTCATGATTTTAATACCTGAAGTAGATGGAAAACAGATTTAGCTGATGCAGCATTTGTGATCTCCCTTATGTCCATACCTTCCCTTCTCCCCTCCCTCATCAGCTGGGTCTGAACAGTGATTGCATTAGGAAAATAATGGAGAAAGGGGAATTGTGACTACGTACATGGTTCATCCAACCAGACGAGATTAAAAAAAGAGAAGTAGTTACCCACTATTGAATTGCTTGTCATACATTGGGATGATTCAACGTTTGCTTTCATTGTTCCGCAACATGACAAAACATTTCTGCATCTCTTGTACTAATAATGTGTGGGTACCAAGTGAAATATATTGCTCGAAGAGAACACAACACAGTTTCTCTTAAGATTGTTGGAGGTTCCTGGAGATTACATTTTATACCAACTGCTTCCACTCAGTTACCTAAGCTGCCCTCTTTTTGAACGTTTCCCTTTACTAACCATGCAAACTAAGTCAGCTAAGATGGATCTGCACTGTTCTAAATGGTCTTGTGGTTAGACTGAAAGCTTCAACTTGCTCACAGCAAGCAAGCAAACTTCCAGGGAACAGACAACTCTCCTTTCTATTAGGTGACTGAAATCCAGTTGTGTGTTGAGAGAACTACTGCAGAAACCAGGAAGACCTTTCGCACAGGTAGGCCAAAATCACAGATTATAAGGTCAAAGTGATTAATAACATAGGCTAGGCACTTGATAAATTCAGCTTGGCCAACCCTATGTCACTGAGGAAGTATTTTACTCCTTGTAATGCTCGGTTTTTCTGATTGCAATCCCATCACGAGCTGCTAAATAGTCCAGGAGTTGGAAAAAGACAAGGTTCTCTGGGGGAGGTGCATAGGGAGAGGTAGGGCACAGCTGCTTTTAAGAACAAGATTGCTGGGAGATTGTTTACAGATGACCATGTCACGTCTACTTTGGCTCAGTTGATTGCAAAAGTAGCACTATTTAAAAATCCCACTGTTTAAAAATCTTGTACCCAGCAAGATATCAGAGCCCGAAAGTCAAAGTCACTTTGGGATTATTTTGCACTAAAGAATACGACCAAAATAGTGTGTGCTTATTGCACTGAATGCTGAAGCTACTACCCTTGCTTGTGTGAAAAACCTTTGCTGTACATCTTTGTGCAATCGTTTTTGAATGATGCTATTTTTAGGACTGTATTATTCCGAACAGTAACCGTGACCAAGTTTTTTCCTAGAAGAACAAAACTAATTATTTGGTCATTCTTGTTTTGGGGAAAACAGCAATAGCTGAATGCCCTAAACTAAAGACTTGAGTTGTTACGCTTTACTTTTACAAAATCCCAGTAGTCTTAAAACACAAGTACTTGAATTGCAAGTATCTTACAGTTACACAGCAGCCTGCAAGTCAGTACAACAAATAATTTGTAACTTTCCTTTATCATACATTTTTTTTAAAATACAGGGTATTGCCCATTGGCTCAGAGTTGCAAGGTCACATTTAGTGAAAAACAGATATGTAAACAAAGAAAGCTTAAGAAACCTGTGGATTTATAAAAGGCTAGATGGTAAAGAAACCAGGTGTTCTTCACAAGTAGCAACACTGCAGTTCATAGCTGTTAACATGCACACTGATAATCAGTTTGCTGTACAGGTGCTTGAGTGGCAGACATAGGTCATACAGTGTCGAGTTATATCAAAGTCTAAGAAAAGTTGGAGAGTTCCATTTATAAACCATTTGATCATAAAAATATGGAAGCCATACCTGTAGAGTTAAGAATATATTACAAAAATGTGAAGTGATACTTCTTTCTTCAGCCTGACCTGTGAACAGACCTTAGCCTAAAGTCAAGGAGCACAACTTACAATATTCCATGACAGGACAAGGCAGGACAAAGACACTAGAGAAGTGGGATTTGTGGGGCTCCTAGTCCAGCCCCTGACCAAGCCACATTCTTCAAAGAACCTTCTTTCTAATGGATAGAGAGAACACCTTGTGTCTAGAGCAGCAGTAACAAACTTGTGGCCCTCCAGATGTTGTTGGACTAGAATGCCTATCTTCCCTGACCATCAACCGTGCTGGTTGGGGCTGATGGGAACTGAAGTCCAACATCATCTCAGGTTCTTTTCTGAGAGGCAACAAGTAGAGAGAATAGATGTTTTGCCTTACAATTTCTATAGATTAGCATATGGCATAGGAGCCAACTCCTAGGGGCCGAGGTCCCTTTGCCCACCCAATAAAATATTGGGGGGGGTCACCCCCCCAAAAGTTGATGGGCATTGCCATTCAAATGGTGTGTGTGCACTGTATCATATGATCATGTGGGGTTGGGCTTACCTGCTCCCCCCCAATATTTTATTCATGTTGGCATCTGGGCTTTGATGGCTTGGGCTGACTAGTAACCAGTGCTACTTGTGGGGAAAGAGCTCAATGAATGGTAACCAATTGCAGGTTAATGCTTTTTGCCTTTGAAGATGGTCAGGGAAGCCTGAGTATTGTGGCACTGGAGAACCTTCCAACAACAAGGGTACCAAGATTCCTGCAGAGGAAAGCCTCATAAAGGCATTTGAATCTAACTTGTAAGTAGGCATCCCACACAATTTGTAATGAATTTAAATAGTGTTCATGTAATACACACATCATAAAAAAGTTGGCCTAGGGCTTGGCTCAGCTCTGCCATACAGAGTAATCTGAATTCTTGCAACACAGGGGGGAAATGTATTTCTCAACAACCTGCATCACCAAAAGAAAGCAAAAGCTATTTATTCCACCAACGACATGTGCGGGAAGAACGCTCAGACTGCTTTAGGACACCAACATTGCTGCAAATATTTTGAAAGACACGGGCCAATATTCTTTCACAGTTAAGTACCTGCAACAATAACGTTTGCACCATGTTAATATGGCAGAAATTGCCTTTCAGCAGTTTTCGAAATCCCTGATGTATTGCTGCAAGAAGATAATACAAGTCATGTTCTAAACGTTGTTAACACATTTTTCTGATAACCGTCAAACAAGTGTTGTGGTGATGTCTTACCTGTGCTTAGCACGAAGTGCTATCAGTGCATGATAGGATGTTAACACAACTAGAGATTTGGTGTGATGCTGAAATTACCAATGGATTTTGTCTGCCAAAGACAAAAAACTTGATTTTCCTAAAGGAACTGAGTTCAAAGATAAAATTAAAACGCTTTTAAAAGGCAAGAAACCCATTTCATTCATTTCCCCCCACAGAACTTGGAGGTCCTGAATATTTGTGCTGGTATGATGTCCTTAAAATCTTGTCCCATTGTCACCAGAAGCAGCCGCCAGTACACCATTTATTTGCTGGCATAGAAAGCCTTAGGACTGGGCTTTAAGGAGTCAGTAATTAAAAAGGCAGCGATATAAAAATTAGACAAGATGAACCAGATGGAATGCAGTGTAACTCATTTGAGTCTTAATTGGCACTTAACACAATAACTCTAGCTACAATTTGACAAATATGATAACTGCTTTTGATGTTAAGCTATATGGTGTTGTACCCACTTATTTTTTATTATTACTGGAGTAATTAAGCTTTTGACTCGAAGACCAAGAACCTGCAGGAATGAAGCAAGGGAGGGAGTATACACTGATTTATATCTTTGTGTTTGTGTGTGTGAAGCCTCATGCAAAACCTGTTATTCTGTTCTCCAAGCAGATGGGCAGTTCACAAGGAAAAAATGATTTATGAAGAGTTTTCTTTCAGGGGGAAAAAACCCAACAACCCTAAAATAAATGAGCTAAAAAAAAGAAGGAAAAAAAGAATGAATACACATGTCTCCATCGAATTCCGTATGGTACATTTTTGTACATTCACATACATTATATTTATATAATATTTACACACACCCATTTCACCTTCAAAAGCAGATTAGAAGTCCATTGATAATGAGCCTTGAGCAGCGTCCTCTCGACCCCTCACGTAGATTTCGCAAGGGATCTCTTCCATCACCCTGTCCTCTATCACCTGCTCTGGACACTCGTGAGCCTGTTTGAAGGTATAGCTACTTTTTTTGAAAGTGCTATTGAAGGTCTTCATTGGCTGAGGTTGTGCAAAATCGTTGCGGAAAGGAAGTTCCATGGAACTGAGGTTGGTCCTGCTTTGCTTTACAGTTGCGGCTTGGGAGCCACAGTGGTGGTCATGGATGCACCTCGAAGCTGTTGAGGAGCGTCTCATTTTCTGGTAGTTCTCAAGTTCTTCAGACAGGTCAGCCAAGTCGGCGGAGATCTCTTTGTCTCTCAGTGAGAAGAGCTCGTAATGAGGTGGGTCAAAAACCTCCTGGAAACCAGTTTTGTTGAACGTGGTTTTGCACGCCATCACCTTCTTGCGGGGCTGCTTGACCTGCACCAGGATCGAGATGATGAGAAGGACCAAGACGATTCCTGAAGTAATCCCAATTATTGTCCCATGAGTTTTGGTGATTTGCTCAAACAGCCCTGTTTTTTTCTTTTCTAAAAAAAAAAAGAAAAGAAAAAGGGAACCAAGCAGCAACAAGCAACATTAAGACTGTCATATGCCAATATTAAGTCCGTCACCCAACAGAGAGGGAGAAAACCCTGCACTCTGCTTTTTTTAAAAATCCAGCTTTTGCTGCTGAGCTGTTTTACATGTTTTATCTGCTAGCTTTCCCCCTGTTTCCTCAAGCTTGAACCGGCGTGGAGCAGAGTAATCTTAACCCAGGAATTCTAAAACGTAACAAGTTCTTTGTGCAGCTTCTACCAGCACCAACTTCTTCGCTGTTTTATTTACATAGGAGCTGCTTATGTGGGAGACTATGGTCGAAAGCAGGGCAACTAACTATGAGGGCAACGCGACATAAGAATACATGCAGAGCCTTCTGGATCAGGCCATGGGCCCATATTGGCCAGTATCCTGTTCTTGCAGTGGACAAGCAGGTGTCTGTGGGAACCCAACAAGAATGGTTGGAGTATGTCAGTTTGCATTTCTTAGTGCAGAAAGTATTGATCTGAGCTTTCCTATTATAATTAAGAGGGTTCTGGAAGCTTCTCTGTGTGAAAGAAACAAGCAGACGGTTCATGGTGTTTAGGTTATACCTTCAGAGAAGCTGAGTACAGCTGACTTAAACTGGTTCTGTTCTCTCTTTCAGGCAAGGTCATGCTGACTATAAAAGTAGGGCCAGAAGGAGGCTGGGCTTCACTTTCTCTTTCTATCTCTCTTCTTTCTGGTGCGGTGTTCTGTACATAGTGTTAAGGTTTAGACTTATTGTAAGTTATTGTAAGTTTAAGTTAAGTCTGCTGCAACTGGATTTCTTAAGGACAGTGCCAATCCTGATTGTATTGGATTTGTGACCATTATGCTCATTTGCCTTCAGTAGCAGTAATGCTCTGCTGGATGAAATATTAATTGCCTCTGGTCTTTTTTTTTCTTTTTTTAATCCTGCAACGTGTTTAAGTTGTTACTCTGCTAACTATACATTGGAATCTACTCTGGATCAATATTGAGTAGAATTTCATGACCGAGTACAAAAGCACTCCCCCCCCCCCCATGATTTCCTGGCATTCAGAAACATTGCTGCCTTTAATCCTGGAAACAGAAAATAGCCATCATGGCTAGTAGCCACAGACAGCCCTCTCCTCCTTTTATCTTTGTTTTGATGACTGGAGGGTTGGGGGAAGAGATGGGCCACAACCTGAAGCGCTAAAAGTTAACACCACGTGACAAAAACCATAAAGTGATGTGAGCACTTCATATGAAAGCACACAAGATGGCACTAGCGGATTGCAGTAATTTTATATATCTAGCTACTTAAAGAGAGAAAGGGGTTGAAAAGCAAGCTTTAGAAGAAAAGGTCATTCTTCTGTATGGCAAGAGGCATGAGCATGAATAAAATAAGATATTCAGAAGGGGTATAGTGACATTATTATCTCTTGGGTATTAAAAAGAAAAGTCCATTCACATCTACAGACAAAATATGAATAGTAATTTATTTCAGCCCAGAGGATGGTGTTTGGCTCCAGCCACGCAACAAACGCTAGAACAGATTTCTGAACTGAAAGGACACAGGCAACATATACAAAAGTATCATAATTGTTGCCTAGAGAATTGTTGGTAAAAAGGCCACCCTGACTAGGATTGATTCATGCTAGCAAGCTGGAGGTTCGTTAGGAAAAAAGATTGTTGTAAATGATCCAGAGCTGGTCTGCGACTGATTTATTTTTGTTAAGCTATAAAACAGGAAACCGAGTCACCGTGAGCAGAGAGATATAGTGTTGCACAGTAAGTGCATCTGTATGGTTTACTAACTCAAATGAAGGTGCTTCAAGGTGAAGAAACAAATCACAATTGATACCAAACTAGAAAATGCAGCTTAATACATAAATAATCCAGAACTGCACTTCAAGTTTAATGTGCACTTTGCCTTATAAAGTTTAGGTAGGCTGATCTCCATTAGGGAGAATAATTCTATTAAATTTCTTTTTTTTTTGCTTATACAGTGGTACCTTGGTTTAAGAACAGCTTAGTTTATGAACAACTTGGATTAAGACCGCTGCAAACCTGGAAGTAGGTGTTTGTGAACTTTGCCTTGGAAGCAGAACCTGTTTCGCTTCCTGTTGAGTGTGTTCCACTTGTAAATTGAATCCCCCGCTGCTATGGGAAAGCATGCCTTGGTTTAAGAACGCTTTGGTTTAAGAACGGACTTGCGGAACAGACTAAGTTCGTAAACCAAGGTACCACCGTAGTATCTTGGTCTCAGAACCTGACCTTGACTCATTTGAGAGATGGGGGGGATCAGAAGGCACAAGCCAGGCAGCCCCAGTTGCCCCTCATAGCAACACACACTCACCTTTGCAGTGGTTTTCATCCCATGGGTATGCACAGTTTTGAATGCCGTTGCAGACTAAAGAATTATTGATGCACATGTTGCTATGGCAAAAGTATGTGCTGCCTGAGCAGGGGGCTAGGAAGGAAGGGGGAAAGAGTTATGAGTTACCCAAACTTAAGAGTGATAGATAGATAGTCACTTCCAGTGCTTTTCTTCTAGGAAAAAGGGTGCCGGTACTCTCCATGAACTTGTTACAGTAGGTGCCACACTTTTAACCAGTGCAGGGGGGGAAAGGTGCTGGTACTGCGTACCCTTAAGTAACCCCCCCCCAAAAAAAACCACAAACACAAAAACAAACAAACAAACAAAAACGCTGGGCACTTTATAATTGGACTTAGAATTTAAGGAAGGAAGAAGTCTTCTGCATGCTACAAAGTGGCACATTCATAATAATCCCACAGCTGTGGCTAGTAAAGTACAGCATCAATCATACACAAGCACACAGAGTATTTATTCAAAGCAGCATATCAGCGCTATTCTACCCTCTCACCCCAGCAATGATCTTTGGGTGGCGTTTATTTTGAGGATTGTTTTGTTGTAAATACAAGTGTTCTAGCATTTTCCTTTACTGTGCTTTCCCCAGCCTAGTCAGTGGTTGAAAATGGCCCATGCTTTTAGTTATGAGTCATATTCTCTAAATTATAACACTTTTTGCCTTGTTGTTTATTGAGGCTTAAAGTGTAAAGCTGATTATTAAGGTCAACAACCAATTAGGTATCACATTAATGCAATTTAAAGTTAATTACACTTCTTGCTATTTCCAGCTGTTCTTAACTATGAGACTTAGTTTAAGGAAGGCAGTGACTCCAAAGTTTCCAGGAGACTGCACTGAAGACTAGATTTAGATCAAAGCGGTCAATGATTTCAGATAGACTTCCAGTTTCAAAATGCCCAATCTGTTAAAGAAGAAACCCTGTTTCCTTCTATACTCTAAAAGCCACATTAATTATTCATCCTGCAGTTCTGCCACAAATAAAGGAACAGGACTTTTCCAAACACAGAGGTCAACCGCCCCGCTCTAAAGAGAGAACACAACACTGTAGAAGTGTAGCTGTTCTATAGCAAGGCAAAGCTTGCAAATGACAACTGAATCTCGCAATCGCCTTCTCTTAAAAGATTCCAGCTGATGAGCCTTACATGATATTTTATACGGTTTGGAGTCACCCACTAATATATAGCAAAAGTAGTGTCTGTAAGCAGTTGTTGTCAATTCCGTACATTCATGGAGTAAACAGCAAACAGCTCTGAGTTTAAAGTTCTAAACAATATTTTGCCATAGTTCCTAAAAGGATGCATTACAGTACACTTACGGTCCACGAATGATGTGAAGAGCATTCTGAACCTGCTCAATCTACTGCCTTCGTCGGCCCACATTCGTACCACCCCAATTCCAGTCTGCAGCATCACATCGTTAGCCACCGTGCTGCAAAACTTTGCTTTCAGGTTTTCGATAGAACTGCTCCCATCATACACAGCCACAAAGTTTCTCTTGCATTCATTTGAATGTTCCATCTGGTAGTCTAGAAACCTCAAATATATCTGTTGGTAAGGGGCAGGGGAAAGCTTTTAAAAGAAGTAATAATAATAAAAAAATGACAAGCCAAATATGCAAACATTATTCTTGATTTTAAAAGTTTACACATTTCGTTTAGATGAAAGGCGCAAACAGCTTGTAAATATATTTTAGGCATATATAAATATAAACTTGCAATTTCCAGCTATACTCCTTACCCCGCCATTCTCATAATAAGCCTGATTTTTTTAAAAATAGTGACTAACAGCCATTCCATTCTTAAATAAATGTGGTGCTTTGCAGACAAACAGAATAAATATATTTTCCTCAAACAATTCATGCCATTAACTCACCTAGTCACATCTGCATTTACATGCATACCTGTAAGTGGTACTGTCTGGTTATTAGATTGATATTTATTTCCAGATGGAATTTTAGCCGTAAAGTGCTAAAACACATGGCCCCAAACCTTAGCAAGATAAGCCCAGTAGCATTTTGAATCCTGTCAAACTTAGAGCTTGATACACCATAAATAATCCAATCAAAGCGCTGCAAGTTAGGAAGATAATTCAATTTAATAAGCGCACAACTGAAGATATGCATTCCAGCAATATTCAATGAAATTTATAAATAAGCATCAGATGTTTCAAATATAGATGAATTGGGAGGGATATAATTTGATTTCTTACTCTTGGAATACAAGCTGCGATGTCGATAGCTTACAGTGCTTTAAGATTCACAAATCAATGTGAACAGCAAGTACATTGTTTATATTCCCTTATGCACTACTCTTAAATAGCTTTTTAAAAATACAAAACAGAGCAAAACAAAAGCACCAGAGAATGTTTATGGATGTGTGTGCATGCTGTTGTCATGGTCCTAACTAGTTCTGGGTATCTAAATTGTGGGAAAACTTATGCACAGCATCAAGCCCTTTTCAAATTAATCTGCAAGTTTAACCACAGATTGGGTGGAGATGTAATTATTGAATGTTAACCAAGAAAATAATTTCCCATCATAGGCATGTGTAGAGAAGATGCATTGTGGTGTCAACTAGAAAAAGATGCCAAGATTTGAATAAGTATATTGAAGCTAGACTGGTTACAGTCTTCTTTAACCTGACATAACACAACAAGGCATGCAATTTGGTAAATGTGAAGACTATTTTGTTGCACCCTCAAATAGTCAACAATCTGCAATATTAAAATATAGATCTGAATCAGAAAACAAATTAAAACTATAGCAGAACCACCCTGGCCCAACCAGATTCCATGAGATTTTGAGAGTTATGTAGTTTAGGAGCTACGTAGCAAAGCTTATTAAGTTTGGATAGAAAAATTTGGTTACAGAATGTAACAGTGGTGTCCATTAAAGCACTGATGATTAGTTTCCAATACGTTGCGCAGCATAGTATTTTAAACTGAGTAAATTGTCTTGTAAGCATGGCCCAGGGCTAGGCCCAGGGTGTTTTGCTGCCCTAGGCAAAACTGAAAATGCCCCCCATTGGCATGCATGGTAGCCTGGGGAGTAAAAAGAGGCAGGCAGGCAGCAGTGGTTGTGGGTAGATCCACCACCTAAGGTGACTGCCTCATCCCACCTCATGGGTCTGCTGGCCTTGGCCTGGCCCCATAGCAAAGGGATTTTTCTGATAAAAGAATATGATTTCCATGCATTTGGACCAACACCTATGTTAAATATAAAGAATAGTAGCGCCGAAGAGGAAAAATAAATCAGACACTGGAGCCGAGTTGGAAGAAACCATATTCAAATATTTATATCCATCTTTTGACCCCCACAACCAATAATGGTTGGTTTCTAAACAGCAGAACAGTGCAGATTGGGTCTGAAAAAGTAACACTTTTTTTGTGCACCAGAAGCAGTCTGTGAAACCAACATCTGTCTTCGTTTCTCATTACCACCAACAGGTAATTAATTTAAATGAACGAGACGCGATATGCAAACCATTACTAATGGCCATTCCCAGTTACTAATGACCTGAGAGCTCATTACACAGTGAATGATTTGGAGGGCCCACCTTGGCATTTGGAGTGGCCTTGATGGTCCATATGCAGTCAACAGCCTGCCCAGGCTTTGTTTTCTCTTCTTGTTCCACTTGACTGGAGCGCACAATCCCATCAGCTCCCGAGAGCTCAAACTGGCAATCTAAAGCGAGGCAGACACAATGTGCTGTCAAATTAAAGGTAAGAGAAATTTTTAAAATATAATATGCAAAAGAGATTAGTACTGCAATACTAGACCTGGGATGGGATTTAAAATACCTCCTAGGTATGTGAAGTCAGGATCTGTAATGAAGAAGAAAAAACATAATGATTGGCCTGGGAGAGCTGAAGGTTTAAACAGAAAGAAGGACCTTCTAGATGCCAAAAAAATAATAATATGGTACACTAGGATATTGAACTGAGGGGAGACAGGTTCCTTATCACTCAGTAACATATGTACCTTACATTTCAAGCTCTATAATATGACTCCAAACAGTCATGGCTTCCCCCAAAGCATTCTGGGAGCTGTCATTTGTAAAGGGTGCCAAGAGTTGTTAAAGGTAAAGGTAAAGGGACCCCTGACCATTAGGTCCAGTCGCAGACGGCTTTGGGATTGCGGTGCTCATCTCGCTATTTTGGCCGAGGGAGCTGGCATACAGCTTTGTGGCCAGCATGACTAAGCCACTTCTGGCGAACCAGAGCAGCACACGGAAACGGCATTTACCTTCCCACCGGAGCAGTACCTATTTATCTATTTGCACTTTGACATGCTTTCGAACTGCTAGGTTGGCAGGAGCAGGGACCGAGCAACGGGAGCTCACCCTGTCGTGGGGATTCGAACCACCGATCTTCTGACCAGCAAGTCCTAGGCTCTGTGGTTTAACCCACAGCGCCACCCGTGTCTCAAAAAAAGGACCTTCTAGATGCAAAAATAATAATAATATAGTACACTAGGATACTGAACTGAGGGGAGACAGGTTCCTTATCACTTAGTTACATATGTACCTTACATTTCAAGCTCTATAATATGACTCCAAACAGTCATGGCTTCCCCCAAAGCATTCTGGGAGCTGTCATTTGTAAAGAGTGCCAAGAGTTGTTAGGAGGCCCCTATTCCCCTCCCAGACCTACAATTCGCAGAGTGGTTTAACCACCAGTCCCTCTTCCCAGGGAACTCTGGGAATTGTAGCTTTGAAAGGGGAATGAGCATGCACACAACTCTAATCATATCTGCATGGTGTGTGGATATATATAAAATGCCAGTTTCCACATGTGTATGTGGAGTGAATGAACAAGAGACAGATAATGCCAATTTCCCCATTTAAGGATGATTTTAAGTTTCAAGGCCTACAAGGCACCCTGTCATTCACAATCTTGGTTTGAAATCTCTGCTTCTGACATTTGAAACAGGATAGCTGCGTTTACCCTCCTGCAGTCATGAGCACAAGAACATTAAAAAGAAAGTTCTGCTCCATGATTTTTATATGCAGCCTTCAACAATAACCAATTCTGAGCAAAATATATTGGGTTAATATTGATTTACCCAACTAAATTCAACACCAGTTGGGCAGAATCTCTAACAGGCAAAGAAAGAAAAAGCATATTTATTTTTTACCTGGTATAAATGAATATTTTGCTTTAAATCCCTGTCCTTCTAGTTCTTCATCTGAGGTAAACTTTATCCACATAAATCTCCCTGTTGACCTAATTAGAGTAGGGCTTTTTAGACCACAGTAGCGATCAATGAGTGGGGAGAAACCAAAAGGTCCATCTCGAACTTCGAGGTGATCAAATCGACATTCAAATGAAGGCTCTATGTAGTATGGTTCATCAAAGGTTAGCTCTATTCTTTGCCGTGGGGCAGCTGTGACAGAGTAAAAGCAATCTAGATCAATATAACTTTCAGCAACAATGAATTAAAACAATTTCCAGAAAGACGTGAAGTTTTGTATTTCTCAGCATAGGTGTGGAGTTAATTGGTATTGCAGTCCTAGCATGAATATAAATATAGATCTTCACAAATAGAATTTAAGATGCCTACACAGATGTTAAGTCTGACTGACTTCAATGGTTTTAGCTAATTGGGCACAGGTTTGCAGCCTAAACATTATCCAGAACATGCACACAAATGACACATGTGTTAGAGACACATGAGCGCCATGACTTGGTGGCCTCTAGATTTGATGCTTTCGTTCTGGAATTTGTCCCATGCTGAAATCCTTAAAAAGAAAAAACACACAGTAACTTTCTAAAAAAACACCTATTTGCACATTTTACATGAATGATTCACAAGGCCGCAAAAAACACACCCACCCAGAACAAAACCTCATCAGTTTATGCAACAAAGTAACCAAGCCAGCAATCAACAGAAATAAACCTAATACCTAGGATATTACTCTGATTAAAGCACTTGGTTTATATTGCAAGTTCATGCCAGCCTGAAATTATAGATTTCTTCCAAAATACTGACTCATTCAAGTGTCAGTTTCAATATGAGATTGCAATCTTCAGCAAGGTGGAGGATGTAAACATCTCCGGAAGAAAAAGCTGAATGCAAGAACGCACAGTTAGATAGGCTGTACCATTTCATCCGGTACTGGCATGCTATATTCATTACATACCTGTAAATACACCATCGTGGAACCCAGGGTGGCACATGCAGTTTTCCCAGACACTTTCCCATCTAGGGCCAGACCCAATTGACTTCTGCTTGGTGGTCTTTCAAACTACCAACTGGGACCACTCTTGTATCTAGTATTATTAGCAACTTGCCTTTGGAAGGGTCGTCAGCAGATCATTAAAAGATTAGACCCATTCCATACTTTCTTTCCCACTTCAAAGGTATACTGTCTCTGAACATGGGAGCTCCATCTAGCAACTCCCCACTGCTGACAAGCGGGAAACCGCAACAAAATGCTACAGTGCATTTCCAGCCCCTAACAAAACTGTTCTTGTTTAGGGTTCCAACTGACTTAGAAAGTCTGTAGTGTTTCCTGGAGCTGCTTACAGAAAGTATCCTCTTGGTACTTTCTCCTGCTGTACAATATATGCTTCCAGGCTTAAACCTGATCACTTTATTGCTGCATCTCATGGTGTATATGTGTGTGTTCCTGGTGCAGGACAAAATTGCCTTTTGCTTTTTTCCTCTAATAAAATTTCTTCATATTATAGAGCATGGGAGTTTGAGGTTGTAGAGGGAAGGCAGTTTTTCTAGCTCTGCAATACATGTTTCACTCCCTCCTCCAATGCTGAAGTTATTAAGTTCTGAAACACTTCATTTCTGTGTTGTATGAAAGCTCAGAAAAGCGACACCACACGTTTTACTTTGGGAACATGACATTTAGCTGTCTATGGGAATCGAAGCCAGGCCATTGTTCTTCTTCGGTTTGCCTGACGCAGCTTGGAAAAATCCTAACCAACCTCCTGGTATCCACCTTTGTATCTTTAAAGAAAAGCCCAGTTTGTGCATCACATTAAACCATAGTTAAAAATAAATGAGCACAGTGTGCTGGTGTATGCTGCTCATTAGTGCCCACTTCACTCCACCCCAGAAGTGGCTCACTGGGTAGGGCACTCGCTTCCTAGCAGGTGGGTTGTTGTTGTTTATCAGAAAGGAAAGGGGAGAGGCAGTGGGGAGGTTCAGCATGGTGCAAACGAACCAGCATGAACACTGGATTTGCTCTGCTGGTATGCTTGCACTTCACTGACCCCCTTGCTGCTTCATCTCTTCCCCTGCTGGTAAGCAACAGTAACCCATATGCCAGGAAGCTACTCTTGACATGTCACTTCTGCTTCTCCCCCATTCTCCTTAGCCATACCATGTTGGAAACAAACCAGAAGCTGGCTTAGGGTTGTCTGCGAACCAGTGCTTGCAGGTTGTTTCGCTCCAAACATGAGGGGAAGCCAGGGTTTGTTTTTGGCTTGCTGTTCAAAACTCACTTTTCACATTCTAACAGAAGCTCTCAAACAAACCACAAGTGCTGGTATGCACATACAGCTTTGGAGATAGATACTGTAAAAAGCGAAGTTTGCACTTTTTGTTTTGTTTTGTTACAATGTGGAAAGTGGGCTTTGTTTTCAGGTTTTCATTTATTTATTTAAAGGAACAACTCATTGACCAGAAAACCCATTATTTCCACTGCAGGAAATAACATGGAGACGAATGACCAAATTCTATATAATTATAACATTAATTAATACATTAGTATGGCAACATAAGATTTATTTTTTCACAATGTTCCAGAAAAGTACCAAATTTATACTGTATGTGGAAGAATACATAGTACCGGTAATCATTTTCAGAAAAGGGGGACATGCTGCAACTGTTTCAATAAATTTGAGTACGGTATAACACATACAGTAGAAAGTCACGTAACAACTGTGTACTTTTTCATATGAGCACCAAAGTCACACTACATGGACCAATGCATCATGAGTATTATGGGGTATTGTGGTATTACACTTTTAAGCATGCACAGCCCATTGAGCATGTTATAACACAGTGGATGGTGTGACAGACATGCTTTTTCATTTCAATGCCAAATGTGCACTAATCCATTGTGATCATTTTGAGATATGGCTCAGTGTGGTGATGCACATGCGCAGCCAATTCAATATTTGAGCATGGTACAACACATAGTGAATGTAAGATTATACGAACACTGTTCTGGAAGTCCCAGTTAAGGAAGTCGTTAAAAACACAAGGATAGCTTTGGAGAATCATATAGTTATAATTTTTAGACATTTGGGGCATAATATACATGCACAAAGAAATTTGGGTAATATGCTGTGAAAAAGTGGTTTCGGTTTTTCATTTGTTAAAAATCAGTGCTGATCCAAGATTGTTTCAGATGATCAAACTGAATCGTTGGAGCATTTCCCCTCACAAGAGCAGAGTGCAGTGCATAAGTCCAGCCTTTTTTCACTTGTAGCTCTTCCCACCCCCTTTCATGCAGTCACAAGACAGTTCATAAGAAGTCAGGGAAGCTAAGGGATTATTGGCCAGAAAGGCTCAAATAGTCCAACATCCATCTGAATCCAGCCTAGCTTATAGGGGAAGCAAGGACAGGCCTTGAAAATAGTGCCTCGCCACTGATGCAACCACGATGGTGGACTTCCTTCTTTACATGCTACTCAAAAGAAGCTCACCCTAGTTCATACGAAGAGGGAGAAGCTGAAGCTCAGTGGCAGAGCAACTGCTTTGCAGAAGATCCCAGGTAGGGCTGCGAGAGACCCTTGCCTGAAACCCTGGAAAGCCACTACCAGTCAGTGTAGACAATGCGAAGCTAGATGGACCAATAGTCTGATTTGGTATAAGGCAGCTTCTGATGTTTCCATTTTGCAAACATCTTCTTTCTTGTCTTGTCCAGATCAGTCCAGCTGTTTGTTCGGTTATAGACCTGTTTGATTAACCTCTCAAATGGTATGCATAGTTTCTTCTGGAATGTTAAATGGGGCCCGTACACCAGGGTGTCATCTTTGCATGCCCAGCAAATGATGATACAATGCTGCATCCTGTAAGTGCATGGGATATTGGTGTAGCATGTGATTTCCCAGGCTCAAGGCAGGTGCGATTTGTAAGGAGCAGCCAGGTAAACCATTCCGTGGCTGCTAGAGATGCAATGAGAATCTTGATTTCTTCAGACATGAAAAATCAGGCATGGTCCTCCTTTACTGTCTGATGAAGGAAGTCCTTCCATTTTTCTGGTTCAAGTAAAACCCCTACAACATTCAGTTGCATTCTTACTTTCTGGTCTTGCTCTGGTTGTACTTTGGCAGAAAAGGCTGCTCTAGAGAGGTCCCGTGCCACATCCTGGCATGATGCACTTCGTAGTTGCCCAGGTCATGTGGCACGTGCACACATGTGCAATACAACATGCCCCCATATCTGAAAATGATCACAATGCATTTTGTCCACATTTGGGTACAATTTTTGGTGCTTCAGTGATTGAAGTCGGTAGAGAATAATGTATGTATGTGTATCTCAGACAAACATAGTAGCAATGATTAAAAAAACCACTGCCCTTGCTTAGTTTAATGCTTTGTGGTATTTTCATTTAGAGTCCAAGTGATTTATTTACTCAATAGTTGCCTAGATACCTGGACTGATGTTTCCCTGGTTTTCTTCCCAATGATATCAATATTTGTTGAAAGATATTTGAAACCTCTAAAACTCTAATCCCCACCTCCAGAATACTCACTGTAATCTCCTTGGGGTATTAGAGAGAATAATTAACCCATCTTTCCATGAATTATTCTAGTCTTGTTTAGAAGTTTAACTCTCACCCTCCCTATCATAATCTGGCTAGAACAGGTAGTATTGATATTTCAAGGGAACCCTTCATTGGCACCAATGGAAGCTCTCCCTGAAATGCAAATGCTGCCCTCAGAGAAGCAATTTCTACAGGGAAAGAGAGAACGACAAAGTTCTGCAGTTACTATTTATTTATTTAAACAAAATTGTATATTGCTTGTATGCAGTTAACAAAAATATAAAACAAAACATTAAAATTATTAATAAAGTGTTATTTAAAAACATCCACAAGATAATTAAAATCAACAATTGGTAAAAATAGGGCTGCCATATCTTGTAGAACAAAAAAGAGGACAGCCTGAGTCACTGCCAGCCCAAGATGGGGAAAGAGGGACATGAGGCCACGGCGGCAGCTATGTGCCTTTTTCCCAGCTTGGGCTGGCAGCGGCTGTGGTGTGTTGTCAGACTCCTGCCAATGCTTTCTGGATTTTGTTTTATTTAGATGTAACTAAGTTGTGCTTAAGATGTTTTAAACACGCATACTTTCATCAGTGGAGTACACAAAGATGTAAACAACAATGTCAATACCTTCTAAAATATAGACACACTCCTGGTTGGGTGGGTAGAAATTAGGGAAGTTTGGTGAAGCGAAGTGGCCTCCGTTGCTTGTCCGTACCCAGTCGCTACACTGGGTAGTTGCTAAGCGGTTACCTCCAATATTCTGCCCACCTTTTTTGAAGAAAACACAAGAAAACAATTCATAATAATTCCAGGATACCTCCACAAACAACAATCTCCCTCAGAAAGGCAAGCTCTGGGTACTGGTACGAAGTCTGTGACATTTAGAGAAGTGTAAAATCTCAGTCGTAACCAAGTTCCAAAACCACCCATTAGCCTGAGACGTGAGGATAAGGTCAGTTTAAATCAGAATGAGCAAAGATCGAATTCCTCAAGGATCTCAAAACCACACTAAATGTGAGCATATCTCTAAAGGGAAAGTGCTTGTTTCTTAAAACTGTTTGCTCTTCAAGGCCCAGGGGTCAGCAAGCTTTTTCAGCAGTGGCCGGTCCACTGTCCCTCAAACCTTGTCGGGGGCCGGACAGTATTTTTGGGGGGGAAATGATGCAAGAGCACCAAGAGCCCCAGTGGCTGCTCACCTGTGTCTTGTGAGTGGCAGGGGCTGGCGGCAGCGGCGGAAGGATGATGAGCAGCATGCAAATGGGCTCTGGAGAGGAGCTGCTTAAAATGGCGGCCGCTCGAGCGCTGCTGCTGCTGCTGGCACCAACAAAGCCCAGCCCCCTTCCTCCTCTAGGCAGGGCGGGGAGAAGTCAGGAGGAGGGAGGGAGGAGGAGGTACCAGCACCGAGGGAGGGAGAGGGAAAGAATGCATGCGCTGGCGATCCACGTGGCAGTTCCCGGACCGTCTGCGGGTCAGATCCAGAAGGCAATTGGGCCTGATCCGGCCCACAGGCCTTAGTTTGCCTGCCCATGGGCTAGACCTATCCCACAGAAAGGGCTCCGAGATTGCCAGAGCAAAGACTCCGCTCCATGCTGACATGCAGAGGAAATACTGTTGCTCAGAGGTGGAAAGGCAGCATGCTGAAAAGAATGGGCAGTGTTGTAAGCAGTGCCCATAACTGAGACTTCTGTTCCCTAGACAATTCCTCAAAGATTTCTAGAATTTCAAAAAATGTATATGTTCCACGTTTGAATGCTCACACCTTTAGAAAAAAAATTAACCCCATCCAAAAATTAAGAATTCAGCTAGTTGTTTCTTTTCTCTACAGGAAGGGACTGCAATCTGCTCTTCCTCCCCAAAGACAGAAGCTTTGAAGGCAAAGGTACATATAATGCATATAAACATCATGCAAAAAGGCTTAAATGTCAACTTATTTCCAAGAAAGCAAGCCAAGTGCTAATTACTCAGCAGTGACTTTCCCCCCACGAATGCTTCTTACTCGGGGAGCAATTAACACACACAGCATTGCCTTGCGAAAAAGTTAATTAGCATAGGCCTTTAACAACAATATGCATGTGAACGTGTGTTGAATTGAGAGTTCTTGTTCTTCAATCTCTATGGTCGCGCTTGTTACAAAACCACCCCAGATATGCACTGTGGCCACGAGCTCCTCACTCTTCTCATTGTGTACCAGCTTCAGTGCAGAGATCCTGGTTCACATTAAGCCAGAGTTCCCTGTAACATCCAAATTGGGTCCCTCCAGCTTAATGTCGGTTAACTAACAAGGATAATTAGCTAGGAACAACATTTAAAATTACATTTAAAAAAATCAAACTTTTTATGTACCAACATGTAATTACAGCAAGCGTTCTCCAGAGAAGTACCTTGAGTCTTTTGGGCCACAGCAATTCCTTCCACGACAAGTATAGTTATCAAGAACACTGGTGAGAAAAACAGAACAGGAAAAAAACATAGATCTATAAATATAGCAGGAGGCGCTGTATCTTAGCTTCACACCCATCCTGTGAGGCAAGTTTGGGTATCTCAGGGTAACTGGATCAATATATTTATTTAGAAGGGAACACAAAATAAAATCCCTCAGCTACTTCATCACTGAAACAACTCTCTCTCCCCCACTACAACCTTAATTTTCACTAAGTGTTGGGTTTTTCTGAACCAATAAAGGGACCAGTGCTGTAAAATTCCTCTGGCTATTATGCCAATACTTCAGTTAAGACCACTTTCTGAGATTAATTCAGTGTGTGTGTTTTAAATAGCAAATCACATTGAATAACAAATTCTGTACAGAAATGGCCCTGTATAATCAGCATTGATAATAAAAAAGGATTAAAGACATTCATTATTGATGGCTGTGCCATCCAAGAGATTATTGATGGCTGTGCCATCCAATTGATGACTGTAGCATCCAAGAGAAATCTTACTGAGACAGGGGTGGCTGGTACCCATTGATTGGGACTGGTAGGGCAGAAGACAGGGAAAACCCACAATGGGCAGGGCCAGAGCCAACGACAAGCAGAGCCAACCAACTCCAGTTTTGTCCTCCTCCTCCCTGCTTCCAGAGCTCCAAAAAGATACATGTAAGGGCTGGACAGATCAATGACTGGAAAAACCCACTAATAAAATTTTGCCATATAGCCAAATGGGCCCAACTATGTATCATTTTTTAGTCCACGGGTAATCTCTTGAGCTTCTGATCGCTCAGTATTCATATTTAGTAAATTACGAACAGCAGGCAATATTTTGGAAGAGTAAGTTTTTCATAAAGTGTGGAAAAACTCTGGTAAGAGCTCTTCTGTTATATAAGGTAAGTTGCTACTTTACAGTGCAGCCCTATGTGTGCCTACGTAGAAGGTAAGTACATATAGGCACAAGTAAACCATAGTCTCAGGTAAGTGCATATAGGACTGCAGCCTGCTTTTTATTTTAGTAATTACCTTTCCCCACTGCCAGTTTCTATGAAAATAACTTTGTTACCCAATGATATCTGAGCAAGATTGCTTATGTTCTGCTTCCCAATTTCCTTGATAAGCGTTCCTTCTGTTATTACTCTCTCTTCATAAGGTGATATTTTCTAAGCCACTGTGTGCAGAAAGACTTTATTCAGATCCCTATGAGCCTGCAACAATATTGCCCTGGGAAAAGTTCTGGGTTAGCACCAAACCTTTGGAGGTCTTCATTTTGAAGAAGTAGTACATTGAAGTACTATGTGCTTCTCTTACTGCACCCCAGGCATTGCCCCTGTGTCATTTCAGACATATGATCAGAAACAGAATCTCTGTTTTACTCATCATATGATCTGCCATTTTCTGTGAGGTCAAAATATTGTAACAGTGCAAATAGTATGATATTGAACAAAATGTATATTCTTCTCTGACAGCTTGATTTCCCTCTCTCCAAATATCAATATTATTGTTCCTGAGGCTATTTTGTTAATAATCGAGGTGCTTCATCAGTGCCACACTTCACTTTCCCAAATATATGTACCAGCAGCCTTGTGGGACATCTTCGGGAGAAGAAAAGGCTAAGGAGTAAACCCTACACAAATCCAGAGTGGAGTCCCTGAGGCGTTTGGATGGTGCCTTGTACACCTCCTTCCAGCAACTCTTGCAGCCAAGCTGGTGCCAAATGTATTGCCTTGCTTTCCTTTGGACCACATCTGCAAGGCTAAGAGAGGGGTCTTGTTGTCTGGGCAACCCAGGACATCCATACACACTGCCCAGGCTTCACACTTCAGTGCTGCTAATGCAGTGGATAGATTTCACCCCCGGAGGCACACTCTCTTGTCTCTCAAGACAGATGGATGCTAACTCCATTTATATCTCTCTACAATGATTAAAAATCTTTATCTTTTGAAGGGTTGCTGAAGTGGATTTTTTAAAAAAATCTCCACTTAGTACCCTTTTCATAAACAACTCTCAATCAAGCTGAAAAGCATTCAACTCTGAACTTGAAGCATCCTATTCAAAATTTATAATTTGGCAGAATATTTGGATTATTTGATATGTACATGTATAATTTGGAATATTTAATGTGATTTGATTGGATTGTTAAAGTGGAAAATTTAATAAAAATGAATTTAAAAAGAAGAAGAAAAGCATTCATTGCCAAAGAGAAGCCCTCCACCAGTCCAGAATTACCATGCCAATCGCACCATTTTATTGACACCTTGGTTGAGATTAAATATGCACCTAACCTACCTTGTTCATTGTTAACTGGTCATTAGTTGGGGGAAGGGTGTATTTCAGTGACAGAGCACATGTTCTGCATCAAAAGGTCCTAGGTTCAATCCTTAGCATCTCTAAGTAGGACTGGGAAAGACCCATGATTTCAGTACAAAGCACCATCCTATGTTTCTCCCCAAACTTGGGAACTACAACTCTTCCAGCCTCCAACTGGGGCAAGAGATCTCCAAGGGATCTCCAAGGTGGGTTACTGTGGAGATGGCAACAGCTGATGCTACTCTAGAAAGCTTTCTCACGTACTCTCCTCAGTCTCACACTATGGGAAATTCAGTTCATACCCATCCAGTCCATGTAATCCAGGCAGAAACGAAAACAAAGCTCACATTTTGTAATGGAGGCAGATAGGCACTGGATAGGCTTAGATTTGGATGGAGGGGAGGTTGTAGCCTCCACCTGCCCCTCCATGGTAAAGGGTATCCTGTTAAAAGGATCGAATGGGCACCCCTTGGGGGGCACCCCTATGTGATGTAAGTCATAGGGCGCCCCTCCTGGTTGGGTTTACCCTCAGCCCCACTTTCAGCAGACGGGCTGGAGTGGATCAGTGGTGGCTTCACCCAGTGCCTATTGTAAAACTTTCACATCTGTAACCAATAAAGTTGTGGCCTTAATTTATCCCATAAATCAATATACTGTGTTTTGTCTGGTTATTTCACCATGGGGACAGGGTGGTTTCTGGGCCTCATCATGCAATGGCTTTTTGACAAAACCAGTGTTCTGTCCACTATTAAGAAACATGCTGCAAGTCTGTTGATTGTATATTTGTGTGCTTCTGCGAAAACTGATTACTAGGATACTCTCAAGTAACCAGCAGCTCTTGGGTTAAGGACTCCTGAAAGCGGCAGCAGCATTTGCACTGAACCATCACTATCCAGAAGGCAGGTCTGGAGAAGCGATTCATCACAGATTTAGTACATGCATTAAAGTAGTATTAACTAGCATTATTCAATTAAGCCAATTTTTATATATATTTAAATGGATGTGGATTTGCATAATTATTATTCTTCAGGGGCAGAATTCCTCTTCCTCAGCATAAGTTTTTTCACTGGCTTGTCTCAATGTTCCTGCAACCATTCTGTGTTGGGACTGTGCCTCTTCAGTTTTAAGATTCAGCACACGGCTTGCACCAGATAGATGTAAAGTAGCAGTGAAACATTAGGCATCCCACCCCAGAGCACTTGAATAAGGCATCTTCAATGTTTGTTTTCGGAGATTCGGGAGAGCCTTGGACTGTTTCATGATTGCATGATTATAATCTTCCTTGAGAGTGAAATGGAAATGCATGTGAACATTATACCACTGCTCAGCAAGAAACCCTACATAGACCTGGGGACTGAGGATAAGGCTTATCACATTGCCTGCCAAGCAGCAGGTATACCGGCATTGCTGCAGGTCTAACCCAGGACTGCAGTGGTGCAGAGTGAGCTGAGCCATCAAAGGATAGAAACTTAAATCTCAGCCAGCGCAGTTTCCTTAGGGAACTAGCAACAGTTCTTCAGCACTGCATGTAAATCTTAATCCCACCCCCACAACATTTTTTTGAGAACAATAAATAACACTTTTGTACAGTAGAATTACTGTATAAACAGTTGTCTGCTGTGATTTGCATTATGCTTAGACTTGGGCTTCTTTCTACCTGGGTAGTAACTACTGAGCAAGGGATTTTATAGGACCCATGACTGAGAACACCAGGTGCAGTGTCATTGCTGAAATTAAGCAGGTGCTGCCTTTATTATTTTACTGGAAGTGAAACCTCTGGGAACCCAATGTCAGAAGACATATATATATATTTAAAACACAGTTTATTGCAGTAAGAAACAGAGACTGTCATGTGAATCTGAGTTTTTCCTTTTCCTTTTTAAAAAGTATATTGGATATGTGTAATGCATATATGCAAGATACATGTGTTTCTTAAAAATTAAAACACTGAGCAATTGATACTACCAGCACATGACTTCCTTGCAGCAGATATCTCACTGTGCTATGAATTTGTTTCCCAGGTTATCATCAGTCTTGCTTTTCTTACAGCTTTTTGATGACCCACATTTTCTTTTTCTGAGCTTCCCCTTGCACTCATGACTCCGAAGCTAAAATGGTTTGTGGTCCTCTAGCCCTAAACAGTAGACATCAGGTAAGCCTGTTGTAACAAATTAATTCTCAAGGCCTCTAATATATGTACAATGTAGTCCAATACGTTCAATTTGAATGACAGGATTATTTTGGTGTAATGCTTTCTTTTCTTTCTCCTAGCACAGCAATTCCCAACTGGGAAACCATCAAAGACTTGCAGGTAAAGTGTCAGGCTCAGCAAGAAGTGTTGTCTCTACCATGTACATTGGCAATTCTTTGTCCATGTTAGAGGAATGGTGCAAGTTTTGGCTGTCCGACATGGGTGCATGTCATGGGCAGGTGCTCACAGAAACTTCCTTGATGCAGGATTTTTTGAGGTGCACCTCTAATTTGTACAGGGATTCTTTAAAACCACTGATACAGCCAGCAAGGACTACTATAGTCCAGATCTTGTTGAACTACAACTCCCATTATCCCATGCCATTGGCCATGCTGGCTGGGGCTGACGGGAGTTGAGTCTGACAGCATTTGGAGAGCCACAGGTTCCTCATTCCTGTACTACAGCAACACCTTTATTCTGACAAATGCTAGAAGACTGCAATGTATGTGGAAGACAGCACACTCTGCAGATCACTTTCCTGCTAAGAACTGAAGTACAAATTGCATGTCTTTTATGGCCATGTTATACAATGGTCCCGGTGTACTTAGCTCCAGAAAGTATGCTCTGCAATCCTACACTCCCATAAAAACCAGCACTTTGCATTTTGTACTCTGTGACACCAAGAACACGTGCTTTTTGAACTTTTCCTACAATATTTCCAAACCCTGGTCTTCACATGCACATGGGAGAGATCACATTTTTGAATACTGACCAGCAATTTATTTATTTTTTCAAAACAACCACCACCACCATGTAAGTTGAAACCTGGCACAGTAGGAAACAGGCTGGGCTTGAACCTTTCTGCCTGGTGCAGTAGTTTTTGTGTTTAAAACTGATAGTTTTGTACACAAGAACACAACTGCAGTTTGAAGTGGCGCAGTCCACTCTACCACCTCCATTTTGCTACCTGTATAAACCAGGCTTGAGTTTCAATTACAAAGTGAACCTATAAGCATATCTGGGCCAGATTAGGAGCTGGGGAAATACAATCAGTCTCCTTAACAAAAAGTCTTGGAGCTGAGGCGTATGTTTTGGACTGCTATGATAGATACAGATCCATACTTCAGAATAATTCTTCCATCTTCAACCCCTTCCCCAATGAACTTGTACTGCCTCTTTGTACAGACAACCATTTCCTGACTGCAGCCAATGCACGTAGAAGCTCACAAAGTCTGTCAAACAATGCTAATGTTTCTTAAAAGACATTGCTCCATCCCTCTGGTTTAAGCATCAGACAATGTTCGGTTCTGCTCTAGCCCTTCAAATTCCCATATGTGCCGGAAGTTCCATTAGTGTTAATCTATAGCAAAGTATGACTTCCCAACAGATGGTCTCCCATCTGCAACAGATGGTTAACTGCTTTCCTTCACTACTGACCTACTCTGGACATTGAACAAGCTCCATAAAGGAGAAAGTCGTATTTTCCATTATGGGTTTCCAGGGCATTGCTGAACAGCCAACTACTTACCACCAAGAAAAGAAAGGACCGAATTTCAACCAGTCTCTTGGTTTCTAGATGTTGCTGTTAATGGGTTCAGCTGTTTACTGAAGAACTCTGATAAGGCCAAGTGGGGCAACCCTTCAATGAAGTGGTTAGAAGGTTGGCTACTGCCCTCTCAGTGTGTCTTACCACTCCCAACTTGTGATACTGGGCTATGGAGACCTAGTAGAACATAGATTGTTCTGATGTAAGTGTGGGTGACATAATTTATGTATGGTGGCTTGTATTCAATATCAGACATCCTCAGAGAAGACTCATTGTAATTAGTCAACCTAAGTTACGGTAATCATGCTAACTAACTTCAATAGGTCTACTCTGAGTAGGACTAACATTGAACACAACCCAGTGCTTATAAGAGAGCCAGAGTGGGATAGTAGCAGCTAGAGTGTTGGACTAGGACTAGGAAGACCAGGAAGACAGCTGGTCATGAAACTCACAGGGTAACCTTGGGACAGAATGTCTGTCTGTCTCTCTAACTAACCTACCTCACAGGGTTGTTGTGAGGATAAAATAGGGAGGGAGGATGAACTGCACTTGAGCTCCTTGGATGAAAGGTTTGATATAAGTGCAATGAAGCTAATACCGATTATAATAATGAGAACCCGCCCTTCACACAAGGGTGGGCTACATAAAAGTATTACAGAAAACAAATGAACAGCACAACACCAAAACAGTAGAGGGTTCACTAAAACTTCATCTTGCCCTACCCATCTCCAAATACCTGTAGGGGGAGGCGCATCTTCATCTGCCAACAAAAGCTGTACAACATCAGTGTAGGCCACACCTCACAAGAGAGAGCATTCCAAATAGTGATGGCATTGCCTGAATTGTCCCACAGAGCTTTGCCAATGGCTCCAGTTTCTCTTGATAGCATGCTACTACCAAGGATAAACACACATCTGAATCTCTTTTACCCCAGCCTGGAGGGACAGAAGCCTACAGGGGTGGACCTTTCTACCTATCTGGCAATGAAACAATGCAGAGAGTTTCTGGGAGGCTTTATGTAGTGCTGTGGGCATCGAGGAAAAATACGGTGCTTAGTTATCTGTGACTGAAGATGGAATAGTACTGAGAAGTCTGTTTGATACAGGGTGTGTGTGTGTGTGTGTGTGTGTGTGTGTTAATGCTAGGTTCTGTATTTTCTACAAAGCTCTGAGAATAAGGATCCATGTGAAGGAGAGAGTATTCTGTTCCATTATGCTCTAACAACTGCACAGGAGGCCTCTTCAATTAAGCTGGTAGGTCAGTGTATTCTTCAGGGTTCTGAATTACTGCTAACAGACATATGCATCGGATTCTGTAAAACTGTACTTTTGGTTTCAAACCATACCCTATGAATTCAGATGCTCTCTGCCTCTCTGCCTTGTGAAACTGTATCCTTCAAAGCTGCATTGCACACACAAAGAGTGGGTGGTGTACATGTGTCAGTTCCATGGATACTGCAAACAGATCTGGGACTGTTTAAATACCATTCTGTGTTTGGCTTGCACACTCCTGAAAGAACTGGAGCTTTATTATGTGCAGCTGAATAAAGAGAACTAGATTCTGATGCAAGGAAAAGGAGAGCTTTCTGACTGGGATGGCAAGTAGAGAAAGAATGGGCAATAGGCTCCCCTGACACAGCACACTGCTACTTCGCAGAAGAAGGATGGGATGGTCCATCTAACCAGGACAAAATTATGCCCTTGTTCACACACATAACGCTAAGCCAAACCAAGGTATAGTGTGCATTTGCAAACATGTAGGCTTCTGGAGAGGAGACTGCGGCTGCTTTGCTCCCCACCCCACCCCCATCATTTTGCTGCTATGTTGGGTTACCATGCCATCTGAACCTAGGCTCATGGTTGAGCTCTCTCCAGACAAACCACAAGCTGCAAACCATAGCACAAACTCGGGTTTCTGTTCATGGTCTGTGTGTGAGAGCTGAACCACGAGCTCAGGTTTAGACAACATGCTAAACCAAACCATGGTTTAGCTCAGCACAGCACAGTGGCAAAACCACTAGAGACAGGGGTGCCAACTTGAATAAAATATTTTTTGGGGTGGGTAAGCCCCGCCCCACTTCACTGATCACATGACGCGGTGCACACACACCATGGCTAGAGAGGAGCAAAGTGGCCACAATCTCCTCTCCAGGAGCTTGCATGTTTGTTCATTCACACTATGCCATGGTTTGGCTTCATGTTACATGTGAATTGGGCCACTGTATTGGCGGTATAGCTCTTCAGCTACAACATACACTGCTTTTACATCTAGCATATGTAGGTGAGTTGATAGGACTGATACACAGCTGTCATTTTACACAATGGGGGGGGGGATAATAAAACCCTGGAAGACAAGGCAATACCCACAGAATCCCATACAAGAAATATGCAGGCTTCTTAACAATAATGCACATTTAACATTCCAGACATCCGATCACTTTCAATTGACAGTGATAAGTCTATTTACTACCGCTGCCCCTTTATTGCACACTTATTTTAAGAGAAGGAAAAAGAAAATCAATGAACATCAATGCTTGTTTCTGTGGTACGAGCCTTTTTGGCATTCTGAATTAAGAGGGAAAACAAAGGACACCACAGGCTACATTTTTCAGTGCCACTATCCAGCAATTTCACTTCTTTCACTGCTGCAGCTACAGAAACAAACCTCCTGGAGGATTTATAAAATCTGATTGGTTTTCACTAAAGCTCATGTTGATTCTATAAATAGTTGGTGCGCTGTGTGTGTGTGTGTGTGTGTGTGTGTGTGTGTGTGTAGAAGAGAAGCCTACCGCTACAGCATGGCTAAGTAGCAGATAAGCAGCCAATTACAGCAGATAAAGAGGCAAGACATTTGTGTTTTTTTCCAGACCAGACCCCATCCCATTCGCTTTTGTTCACACACCCTTTATATTTCCCTCTGCATCTCCCTTTTTGCACCCTTTCACTACTGGAAGCCCCTTTTCTTTTATTCTCTCTCTCTCTCTCTCTCTGCCATGCTTCTGGAGATTGTGAAAACATCCCCGCTCAGTCCCTCCGACTTTGGGCAATAATATAACAAAAAGAAGGCAGTGCTGCAGACACAAACTTCAAGGAAATAATTTTCTATTATGGTTCCTCTCTGCAGTGCTAGAGAAACAAAAAAATGATGACCTAGCAGCCAGGTCCCAACAGAATGGTTAGTGCAGGCACTGTGGTCTAAACCACTGAGCCTCTTGGGCTTGCCAATCAGAAGGTCAGTGGTTCAAATGCCCACGACAGGGTGAACTCCCGTTCCTCTGTCCCAGCTCCTGCCAATCCAGCAGTTCAAAAGTACCCCTGTGCAAGTAGATAAATAGTACCACTGTGGCGGGAAGGTAAATGGCGTTTCTGTGCACTCTGGTTTCTGTCACAGTGTTCTGTTGTGCCAGAAGCGGTTAAGTCATGCTGGCCACATGACCCGGAAAGCTGCCACATGGACAAATGCCGGCTCCCTCGGCCTGAAGGCGAGATGAGCACCACAACCCCAAAGTCGCCTTTGACTGGACTTAACCGTCCAGGGGTCCTTTAACTTTTACCTTTTTTACAGTGCATCAGATCAAATGTCATGTTTGCCAACCCCAAAATTAAGGCCAGGGGAGGGTCTGGTATCATAAAATGTGACACAAAGCAAAGATAAGCAGGCTTTGGGGGTGGGGTGGTGCAATCCTATTCTTCAGTTTTGTCTGTTACACTAAATAAGTGCAGGGGGTACGGGCAAAGAAAGTGGACCATAGGGAGGACTTTTGCCAGTTTTTCAATAGTCACAAGATGCAGACTCCCCCCCCCCCTTGCTTGTTTAGAACAAAACTGCTGTGAAAAGTCACAGGGTTTAGCTTAAAAGTTTTTTAGGTGAAACTGAACTTGGCTGCAATATTATGTTTCTCTCTCTCTCTCACACACACACACACTATGCTTCATTTGGACATCAGGGTTCCCTACAAACCATAAAACAGAAGCTAAACGATGAAAATTCACTACAGTATACATGATGCAATTATCACTTGCTTTATAACTCACATTAACCTTTCTTTTTTGGGGGGGCTGCAGACACAAGGACTGTAAAGTGGAACTGATAGCAATCTATTAAGTGGTTATTGCCCCTGCCTCGATGGTATCATATCAGTGCTCATGATCACCCTCGCAAGGTTCAGGTTGGGAGTAGTGAAATTAGGACAGCTGTAAGCACCCCTGACATACTCCCTTCCTTTGCAGGTCCCATTCCTTGGTGCAGTAAACATACAGGTTTTTCATATATCTATAACATGGTTCGGCAAACTAAGGCCTGGGGGCTGGATCCGGCCCAACTGCCTTCTAAATCTGGCCCACGGGCGGTCCGGGATTCAGCGTGTTTTTACATGAGTAGAATGTGTCCTTTTATTTAAAATGCATCTCTGGCTTATTTGTGGGGCATAGAAATTCATCCCCCCCCAAAAAAAAGTACAGTCCGGCTCCCCACAAGGTCTGAGGGACAGTGGACTGGCCCCCTGCTGAAAAAGTTTGCTGACCCCTGATAATGGGGACTATAACTATCCATGAATACACACACAATTTCACAGCAACATAGAATTGTAGAGTTTGAAGGGACACTTCTCCACACTTCCATTTAATCCTCACAACAACTGTGTGAGGCAAGTTAGGCTGAAAGGCAGTCATTGGCCCAAAGATACCCAGTAGGCTTCATGGCTGCATGGAGATTTGAACCCTGGTCTCCCAGGTCCTAGTGTGACGCTCTAACCACTACACCACACTGGCTGTCATATCAGTTATGCTAGGCTTCCCCAATCTGGTGCCCTTCAGCTCTTCTGGGATGCAACACCCATCAGCCCCAGAATCATAGGGCCATGCTGCCTGCAGTGGAAGGATATCCAGTGTTCTTAAAGCAACCTCTACCAACAAATACAAGATGGGTGACACCTGGCTTGAGAGTAGTACATGTGAAAAGGATCTAGGAGTCTTGGTTGACCACAAACTTGACATGAGCCAACAGTGTGACGCGGCAGCTAAAAGCCAATGCAATTCTGGGCTGCATCAATAGGAGTATAGCATCTAGATCAAGGGAAGTAATAGTGCCACTGTATTCTGCTCTGGTCAGACCTCACCTGGAGTACTGTGTCCAGTTCTGGGCACCACAGTTCAAGAAGGACACTGACAAACTGGAACGTGTCCAGAGGAGGGCAACCAAAATGGTCAAAGGCCTGGAAACGATGCCTTATGAGGAACGGCTAAGGGAGCTGGGCATGTTTAGCCTGGAGAAGAGGTGATATGATAGCCATGTTCAAATATATAAAAGGATGTCACATAGAGGAGGGAGAAAGGTTGTTTTCTGCTGCTCCAGAGAAGCGGACACGGAGCAATGGATCCAAACTACAAGAAAGAAGATTCCACCTAAACATTAGGAAGAACTTCCTGACAGTAAGAGCTGTTCGACAGTGGAATTTGCTGCCAAGGAGTGTGGTGGAGTCTCCTTCTTTGGAGGTCTTTAAGCAGAGGCTTGACAACCATATGTCAGGAGTGCTCTGATGGTGTTTCCTGCTTGGCAGGGGGTTGGACTCGATGGCCCTTGTGGTCTCTTCCAACTCTATGATTCTATGATTCTAGTGCCCTCAGTTTGTTTTGAACTTGCAGTCAGCCCCAGCCAGCAGTTGTGCTTCGGGGCACCAGTTTAGGGAAGAATGAGCTATGCAGTTACAGTTGCTACAGTAGTGAGCATCTATTGCCAGTACAAACTTCTGCCTGAGAGAGAAAGGAAGAGAAGCAAGTGTTTTGCAATAACACAAGGAGGATTCATTGGGGATAGCAATTCAACAGTGGTAGCAATCAGTCCTTGAACAATGTGTTTCTCCTCTCTGTCAAATCCAATGCAAAGCCTGTTTAATCTCAAACAGTTATAAGGCATCACTCTTTAAAACTTGGCATTGTAGCCACAGGGGCTAAGAATTTAGCTTTAACATTCCGAATTTTATTCTTATTATTTAAAAGTGATGGCAATAGTAGATTCGTAATTGGTATCAAACTAGCATTTCTGGCCAATGATCTTGAGTCATTCTTCCTTACATTTTAGAGAATTCTGATAATACCATCACTAGACTTTCACAACCATACCTAACGCTATATACCACCCCTCTTCCCAGTTACTAGGAAGAGATCACAGGTTTACAAGCCATCTAGCAGAAAAGGGAAGGGAAATCTCCAGCAGAAAACCTCAGTTGCAGTCAGGCAAGTAAAAGATACACAAATAGCATCCTATTACAGTGATGAGGTGTGCTAAGACTATTTTAAAAGGGGTGCAGTATGGACAACAATATATCGCCATGTTATCCCCAAAGTACTGATGCCTCAATTTCACCAACCCTAAACACAACTGGGGAAAAGGCACAGCACACCTGCTGTACAACTCTATATTCCCTTTCCCCAACAGAACAGTTGTTTGTGTGTGACTAGAGTGCAATCTCTTTGTGCGAGAAACTGGAAAGGTAGACAAAAAATTATACTGATGGGTTGTAGTCAACTAAGTTTTACTTAGAGTAGATCCAACAAAATTAATAAATGAAAGTTAGTCATGTTAATTCATTTCAACAAGTCTACTCCAAGTAAAACTTAGTTGAATGCCACCCAATGTTAATTAAGATGGATGTCTGTGTGTGTGTGTGTGTGTGTGTGTGTGTGTAGAAAAATAGCACAGATCTTAATTGGCTACCTCCTATCCCATCATCTACTTCCCATACACTTGATGAACTCTTGTGAACACTATCCCTGATCATTTTCCTATTCTCTCAACTGATTTTAAAGTTTTTATCTTAGAGAGTTAAAACCCCATCCTATCACAAAGGCCAATTCTGCTCCTAAAACTATATATAAAATTGGTTCTGCATAAACTGAAGTCTTGGATAGAACTTACTCATTCTCACAACCAGAGTTTATAGGTTTTATAGTAGGGATTGTATGAAAAAGTTTAACAGCATCTGGCAAAGCTTCCTAGTTTTCCCACTTCTCTTCCCCTTCCCAATATCTTTTCCTTCTTTTTTCCTTCAAGTTGTACATTCCAAAGGAATTGGTGACTGGGACTGAGTGGGGAGAGGAAATGAGGTTCCTCTTGTAGGGTTTTGGGTTTGGTTGGCGGTGCGTGGGGCTGTATTGTGAAGAGAATGAGGTTCATTAGATGACTGCTTTAGTAAACTGTTTCTATATAAATAAATGGAAATAAGAACCACTGTTCTTTCTTTTAAGCTGCCAGCACATTATCTTAGCTAACAGTGGAATCACTGCCATATCAATCTCACCTTTATATACAATGGGGCTTTGCAATGGTTACTAGAGACCTATTATAGTTTGTTTCAGCACCGAGGCAGATGCTCTCTGCTTGCATGCTCTCCTCAGAACCCAGCAGGCCTTTAGTGAGTGGAAAATCTGGGATATTAATTCCACTTGAAGCAGCATTAGCTTCCATTCCATGATCTCTCTGTGTGTGTCTCAAAGGAAGCTGTACAGGGAACCAAAAGCAGCTCACTTCCCAGAAATTCAGGCATTCCCATTCTGTTTGTGCACACAATATTTAGATCATAAGCTGGAGACATGTTCAGGAGCCTTCAGATCAATGTCTATTCTATACTGATGTTTTGCCTCTCCAGCTGAAACAATTCAATATGCTTTCTCTTCGGTAAAGGGCAATGGGTTCTTTGCTCCTATCATGCAAGACATTTCAGAAGGTAATTTAAAATATACATAAAAAACGAGTATTGGGTATGAAGCCACAACAAGTGATATCCAGCTAAGTCTTAGTAGGCCCAAGTTATTTATGTTCATTGATTTCAATGGGTCTACTCTCAAGTATGAGGAACATTGGCTAACACCTTATAACTCTGTACAAATGACTGCTGTTTCTGGGTTTTCATAAAAAGAGAAAATGAAACACACACACAACTCAAAACAATAACAAGTGGTGGGATTCAGCTAAGATCTGCTAAAAGAAGACCCACTGAAATTAATGGACTTCAGTTTGTTACATCTAATGGTTTTAATTGGTCTGCTCTGAGTAGAATTACTGCTGGGTATGTCTGAGTTTCTTACATGTTTAATTCAACATCTTGCTCATAGTCATTCTTTTTTCAATGCTGCCCCCCAGGGTGATGTTACTCAAGTTCACAAAGAGGTTCTGAAGTTGGGTCTGCCTTCCTCATCCCTAGAAACAAGAAGCTTAACACCTGGACAACATTACTCTCCAGAACTCCTGGACAAGGATGGGTAGGATAAAGTACAATTACAAAAACCCAAAACGAGAAGTTTAATATCGTTGCAGAAGAACAATATGGAAAGCACCCTCAAGAAGCAAATTGCAGTGAAGGCTTCGCTCTTCTCCCAAACCAAAGGTTCCGTTTTGAAAATGAACAAGGAGCTTTCTTTAGCAAATGGAATGCAGCAGTTAACAAACCCTGAAGTGACTCAGAAATGTAGGCTTCTACTGAATGCAGATTGAACTCTACTTATAATCATAAAGGGACTGGAATGTTAAATCTTCAGAAAGAAATGTCATTAAGTGGCAGTTCTCCCTATCGTTGGAAAACATCCATTAGATTCACAGGAGAGTAGTTTTTACACACTGCTTGAAGTTTCATTGTTACAGGACCAAATAGGAGTACCCGAATTTACAGAGGCTTTAGTTCATTCCAGAATTTGATACATTTCAAAGGAATGCTATTACACAGCCAGAGAAGAGCAACAATGTGTTCCTATATAGCTGGTTTTGCAATCGGCAAGTTAGGTTTTATGTCTTAATATTGGGAGGTTTTATGCCTTAATACTGCGTGACAGTTAGAATCAAGGCATTTACATTGCTAACGTTCGGTTTTGGAGGAAGGAGGACGGTGGAAACGCCACTGAGAAATGTTTCCTCACAGTCTTAACGCACTTAATTGAACAGTGGTGGCTGGCATCCAGTAAGACTGGTGGGAGGCCAAGAGCTGGAGGAGTCGGAGCCAACAAATTCTTAGTTTTGTCCTCACCCTCCTCCCTTCTACAACAGCAATACTGAGAGCAGATCCACACTATGCATTGAAAGCATATTCAACACACCTTTAAAAGCACATGACTTTCCCCAAAGAATACTGGGAACTGTAGTTTTCTCTTCACATAGCTCTTGTTTCCAGTAGCCTCAAGAAACTACAGTTTCTAGTTCTTTTGAGGAAGTCATGTGCTTCAAATGCATCATGTAGATCTGCCCACACCAGACTAAGGAGGAGGAAGCAAACAAGCATTGCCACACCCTGGGCAGGTTATAAATAAGACGGGAGGCTGGCTGAGGGCAGACTGAGATTGCTGGGGCAATGCCCCACATGCCCTAACAGACCAGCATCCCCTCTGTAGTGGAAAGTTAGGTTAACACTGGTCAGGCAGGACTTGCTCAGCAAATTCTGTCAGATACCACAACCTCAGGATTGTCCTTTCTCCAAAACTTGTTGAAATTGTCTACTGTAACTTCTTTGCCACATAAGAATTTTAAGGAACTTACTTTTATACCAAGTAAAGTAGATATAATTAATCCAAGTATACAACTCACTTCAAAGCCTAACTTTGGGGTCAGCAAAATGGCGAAAGAAGCTACATTTATCATGTTGGATCCAATTATGTTTTCAGCTGTGAAACAGCTAAACCACCCAGAGCAATCCTCCAAAAATGTAACTGCGTTACACAAGTTATGTAATATACAGAACTGCTATCATAGTGAGTTCAGCACCAAGTTAAAAACTAATGGGATGACATACTCTTGATTCTCTATTAAGTGTCTAAAAATGGAATTTCAGAGGGATTACAATCTTCAGAAAGACTGAGAACTATTCATAGCAGTTTCTTTTTAGATCCTCAGATGGAGACACCTTCTGGATTACGGCTAAGAAATTATCTTATAGAAATCTCCTTTTAAATTCATGCAATAACCTGGTTATACAGGAATACAGGAACCTAGCAGACAGGATAAAGTAATCATAGGTTATTTGCAAAGTCAGTGTCAAGTTATTTGAAGTATGCTATGCAACACAAACTCAAGTGTCACAAACGAACAGCGAGATGAATTGCAGGCGCTTTGATTTGTAACCACAATATCCTATTACTGTTGGTGCTGCTACCAGCATGCATCCTACCCCAAATATGCTACCCCAAAGCGTTGGGCTTCTCATCCAAGGATCAGGAGGGATGACCTGAGCTTCAAAACCTCGCTGAGCTGCGGATGGCCCTTGGTAACTTCTCATTCCTATTTAAATGCTAAATCTTGCTTGTCACCTATAACAAAGTATCAGAATTAGGTAGCATACAAACTTATTTTAAATATTAGCAGCATCAATGAAACAAGCTGGATAAAGGCGTGGGAGCACTAAAAGACGTAGACGAACTGATGCCTGCTTATAGCTCACTTACACTTTGCATGTGCAATTAACCTTCCAATGATGAGCTCATGATACACAGGCTTTATACTATGGATCTTACTACACCATTGTTAATGGAATGTTTCAATATCTATATAGATGTGCTGTTAATAGCTCTCTGTTTTCCTAGCCAAAACTGAAAAATCACTGAAGCACAGCAATTAACTCACGTACAAGGTATTCATAGAGGCAAACATCGTGTTACAGAGTAATATTCCTGGACCTAAAATGTCAGTATTTCTTTTCATCATTATCTGTCCAAACTATTCTGTGTCACACAAAATGTATGAATACATGACAGGATGAAGATAAACTTTGCCACCTCAACACCATAAGAGGTCAGCCTAGCACAGGAGGCGAACATCATTCTATTTGCAGTATTTATCAGCTTGCTCCTTAAATTAGGAAAGCAAACATTCCATACAACTCTATTTCCTGATAGAATATTTTAGCAGAATGTCCTGTTTGCTATGCCATCTCCAAAGTAATTAAAATATATGAAAGCTGCAAAACATCTGGTGCACCTCGTTTCCATTCTACACTTTCTACACTTTTGCTGCAGAAATATGGAAGACAAATACTATATTGTATAAACCAAGGAAGTTTCAGGTAAGAAGGATTTTAAAAAACCAAACAACAACATCAACAACAAATAATCAACAAACAACAAATAACAAATAACCAACACACTGTTTGAACCTTGCTCAGTGAAATCAAAAATTAAAGATTCAGGAGTTGGAACCTATGGTGCAGCTTCCTCTTGTTTCAAAAAAAGTATTTTAAACATGCTTCCACTTATGATTGGTAATAAAGCTGCACACTTTGGAAGGTTCAATTCTCAATACCATCACCTGTGCTACCATTTCCAAAGACAAACTGGGAGCCTTGGATTTCCTCCAGGCTTCTTTGGCTTTCAATACACTCGCTATTCCTGGCTAGAAACCTGGCTGGGAATCTGTTATTTCTCTCCTTATGCAGCTCAACAGTTCTAAAATAAGGGCTGTCTCCTGCTACCCGCAGCTCTGTGACAGTCAGCAACAAGACACAACAAAACGAACACCTGGCAGTCCTTAAAGCTGTAGGTACTCATAGGGACACTCCACAATCACCTTGACTACCTTTGTCAGCAGCAGAACCAGAATTCCACCCACCCACTGAAAACCTAGTGGGTGGGATTTTCCTTGGGATTTCCTAACTCTCAGTTGCTACTCAGTCATCCCCACCCACCCGAGAGAAATAAACTTCCCCAGCTTTGTAGTTGGACGGAAGCATACTCAGATAAGCCCAAGGAATCAACTATGGATGTTCTCAGGTGGCCTGTCTCCATGCGCTATGGAAAACAAACCAGTGCGTGTATATAAAACCCAGGAATTTCGGGGGTGGGTGGAAGGGAACTAGGAAAGTGCCAACTATAACTAGCTACAGCGCTGCAGTTGTTTCCAGAGAGCCTATAGCTGCAGATCATCCTATTGGAACAAAGGAACACCTGGGCAGTTTCTTCCACCCTTTATGGGATTTGTCACCACTGAATGCAACACATACTTCTAATAAAAGTTTAATGGTACGTTGTAAATATGCTACGGATTAGTTGGTGGGACCCCAGGCAGACAGGCACCGTGCCAGCCACAGCCATGCTGAGCACTGCTGACATTTCCTTTGACAGGTAAAGGGCACCTTGCCAGAAGTGTCTTGACCCAGACTCTGATTAGTAGATCTAGGCCATTAAACTTTCACAAAGAGCAAGTGATACAAATCTGGGCCAAACCTTAATCTTAGGAAGGATGGGGAGGAGAGAGAGGAAGAGAGCTGCTTGCCTATTGCCAGCAACCCTGGGCTTGGAAGATATTGGTGTGGGCCACAGCTTTTCCAAGAAAAATTCACAGCACCCCTACCACACTGAGGTGGAGAACACTGGGCTCTGTTTCCTGGGCGTGCAGGTGGGGTGGGGATAGAAAGAGGAAGGGGGGAAAGTCGTGTGCCAGTCAGTAAATGCCAGGTCTTCATGCAGAGGGCAGAGGGTGTCTCAATGCCTTTGGGGTATACTTGGATGCTACCCAATGTATTGGCAGCATCATGTACCTACAGAGATGCCAAATCGCAGGACATATGGGTGGGGGTGATAGGTTGGTTAAAAATGGGTCCAGCTCTTCACTCTCTACCTCCCAAGAAGCTTAAAAACTGTGAGGCCGGAGCAGTATTTACCAAACAGGGTTACGACCTGAATGGAGGCAAACCCCACCCAACCCCATCTCTCCCATAACATTGCAGCATTCTCAGATCACGGAAATTTGGGGTGGCAGTGGGGCAGGGGAATGAAGAGCTGAACGCTCCACACATCTTTGAAAAGTCAAAACATGGCTGAAACTGGAGCAGAAGAACAGCGGAATCACACACACACTGAGCAGAAAACCTCAACACACCCACATCCCTGTCAAATAGAAAAAAAGGCAGCCCTGGAGATGTCCTGGGGCACACCTCCACCTGCCCACTCCCCCTACCCCGTTCGTGGCTGGAAGATTGCAGCAACCCTTATCTGTGCTCCAGCATCTGGCTGTTCTCCTAGATGTCAGGGATTAACCCCACTTAACCCCCTAGGGTGGATGTGAAGGGGGGGGGAGAGAAGCAGCTGGCTGGCCACTTTGGGGAGCTGAGAGAGGGAGAGATGGTCCCCGTTGAGCTGATCAGGGGGAAGAAAGGGAATAATTCTCCCCCCCCCCCCGCAGGTCCTTAAAGAGACTTTCTTCTCCATGCTTCCTGCCATGCTCAAGTCTTGGGCATCCAGATTTTTCAGGGAGATGAGCAGCAAAGGAGGCTCCCCTGTTAAGGAGAATAATGGCAATAACGGCAGTGGTGTCTAGGAAAATAAACGATGGCAACAACAAAAAACGATGATCGAGATGAATGGTGATGATGTCTGAAACCCTGGGCGCTCTCCAACCCCTTCTCCAGTTTTCCTCCTACCTTCCAGCACCGAGTAGACCTTGACCAGAGCCATCTTTCCTCCTCCTCCGCGGTCTCTCCGCGCACCTGTGGCCGGGGAGGGGCGAAGGGGGTCGGGGGCGAGAGAGGTGAGAAGCGCCGCGCTCCCTCCCTCCCTCTCTCTCAGCGTGAGGGGCTCCTCGTCTCCTCACCCGCCGCCGCCGCCGCCGCCGCCGCCACCATCATCGCCCCCCGCGCCTCCGCCAGCGGCGACGACGACCCCCGCCGGTCAGACTCGCTTCGCCCTTCGCCGGCACGACGCCCTCGAGTCCCGCCGCCTCTGGCCGCGGCTCCAGCCCGGCCGCCCCTTCATGCCCACCAGGGCGCGCCTGCTGGCGGGAAACTTCCTCGGAGGAGAGGAGCGGGAGGAGGGGAGGAAGAAGAAGAAGAAGAAGGAGATACGGGCAGCGGCGCCGCCGCTCCCGCCTCAGCCGAGTCCCATGGAGCGCGTGGAGCCCGCGCGCAAAGAAAGAAGCAGGACGGAGCGAGGCTGCGGGTCCCTCCCCTCGGCGCTTACAAGTCCTCCGGCGGCGGCGGCAAGAGGAGGAAAGCCACGCCGCTCCGCATCCCCTCAGCTCGCTCTCTGGAAACGGCTTCCCCCCTCACGCCGCCTCCGCCACCCGCCCCTCGAGCAGCAGCTCCGACGACGAAGCGCCCGCGCCGCCCAGGCAGCCTGAGAGTGTGTGAGAGGCAGGCAGGGAGGAGGGGAGAGTCCGCCCGAGAGGAGCCGCTTTCTACGCATGTGCCCCGTCGGCCCGTCTGTCTGTCCGCCCACCGCCCCTCGCGCGCCGCCTCAGAGGCAAGGGGCACCTCCGGGGTCTTTCCCGCCCCTCCGTCCCGCCTGCCCTCTTCCTCGCCGCCGCCGCCGTCTTGCCTCGCGGCACCGGCGAGGGGGCGGGTGTGTGGGGTGACGCAGCTTCGGCCCCCGCCCCCCATATTCCCTCACCCCTCATAACCCCACTTTTCTTTTTAAGGTGAGGGGATACGGCCGGGCTGAATCCACTCATTTTAGATATACGAGGGAAAGAGTCAAAAAGTAGCCTCAGCTGAGGGTTTCTTCCAGCGCGAACCTATACGGGTGGGTGGGTGCGTAGGTTCGTTCGCGCAGCCTGAAAAAGCCCGAGGCGAGGAGCTCATTTCATTTTGCTGCGAGTCATTTTAGGTGGGTGCCCGAGGAGCACCCACAATATTCCCTATGAAGGGACCGGGCACCCACAAATTTCGGCGCTGGGCCCATGCACGCTGCGTGGCACCCACGGGCACCCACGCTCGCGGGGCCCAGCTGGCACTGCTGCTGCAAGTTTTGCACCCGGCTTTTCTTCCCAGGTGCTCAGGGGTCATTCCCCATGAAGGGACCGGGCAGGGTCGTCCTCCCCGCGCGCCCTTTACGGGACGAAGGAGAGCCACTGACTGGCTGACTTCACGTCGCTCAGTTGGCTTGAGTCAGAGGGCGCGTTGGAAACCAGGGGGTCGCCAGACCGAGGGAGGGGCCTGGAGGTGCTTTTCAGACGGAGATGACTCCGCCACTCTCAATAACGACTTCGCCGCCTCTTCTTACTCCCGATGTACGGCGAGGAGTGTCGTTGCCTGTGTAGCCAAAACGGCACCATCCGCGCGCAAAAAATCGGGGAAATCCCAAGGTTTTCAGAAGTACAAAAAACTTGGGCGAGGATCTATGCCCTCAACTGGAATAAAATATTGTGTGTGTGGGGGGGGGGAGGTGTCAGCCTGGTAATCCCTGCCCCATGTAATCTATCTATCCATCCCAACGCAGTGTGACGTAGTGGCTGGGGTGTTGGACTAGGACCTGGGAGATCTGGGTTCGAATCCTTGCTCAGCCTGAAACTCACTGAGTGACCTGGACCAGTCACGCTCCCTCGGCCTAACGTCCTTGACAGGGTTGTTGTGAGGATAACACGAGGAAGCGGGAAGAGGCGTCTGTGTTTCCACCTTGAGTTCCTTGTAAAAATCAATGGAGAAAAGGCTGCGACTGATTGGAGAGGGGGAATTTTGGGTGAAGTGAAAAGAAAAAAGCGGGTAACAATTGAAATGCCCAGGGAGAAATAGGAAATGGGATGATTTATCCTTTTTTTCTGAGATAGGAAATGAAAAAGGGGTTGGCGGTACTTATTTTTGCGCATAGCAATAGGAAGGAGAGTGGATGAGGTTAATTTAAACCAGGACTGCCCAAGGGAGAGTTGGCCTCAGAAACCAATGCCAGGCCTCCCATGAAGCCACACTAAAGGCGAGAGTGTTTCTGAGCATACACAAAATGCCTTTGCCTCTGCTGTCAGCTGGAGGGGCTGGAGTTGGGGACAAAGAGAACGCCATCTGTAGACTCCCTTGAGTCCTGGCAACGCACGTTTGCCTTCCCTTAATCGTCACATCAACCCTGCGAGGTGGGCTCCGAGACCCGGCTGTCCGGGGATGGGAAGCTCTGGGCTCCCCAGTCGAAGCGCAAAATCCTCGGTGTTCTTCCACGATTCCACGCGTTTCTCTCCGTGTTTCGAGAGCTCACAGGGCGCGGCCGTGTCCCTCTCGGCGTCTCCCTTTCCAAAAGCGCGCGTCTCTCTCCCCACTTGCCGCCGATACAAGTTCCTGGCTCGGTGGGAGACGCTGGGTGGATCCCAGGAGGGATCGGCTGCTCCAATCCCCAAGCGCGCGGATTGAATGGCTAGCAGCAGACAGACCTCACGTTAAAAGTGCCATTTCTTCCCCATTACAGGGCCAGGCAGAGAAATCGGTGGATGAATTTGCGGTGGTGGCGCCGGTGACACGGCTAGAGACTCGGGCGAAGTGCAAATCCCCGCCGATCGCGCCTCCGCCTTGACTGTGTTTTGCTCATCGCGCTTGCCCGAGAGAAACCCAGTGCGTTAAGATGATCGCACTTTTTATCGGATTAACTTCTGTTCCATCTTCTGCGACTGGAGGGGCCGAAGCAAAAAAAGCGACACCCCCAACCCACCCCATACACCCGCGACCGAACGGATCCATCTCGATCTGGACGGTCGTTCAGATAAGGTCCTTCCTTCCTACTGGACATGCTCTGCGTGGACGGCAAAAATGCGCAAGCAGTGGCTGCTTTGGAAACATTCAGGAAGAAGCATCCTTGAGCGGTTGGCTGATGGATGCCTTCTGCAGCTGCTGGTCTTGACCGGGGGCAGCCAGCGCTGCGTGGCCCTCCAGATGTTGAGGACTACGATTCCCAGCATCCCTGGCCATGGGCCATGTTGGCCGGGGCTGATGGGAATTGTATCCCGCAGCACCTGGAGGGCACCACGTGGGCTAGCACCCATGTTCTAAACCGTGCTCAGCTCCTAAAGGAAGGGCACTCCCGAAGATCAAAGTCTGCCTGGAAACAATGCCCTCTCATGTGGCTGCTGTCCTCCCTCCACCCACCCTGTTGCTGATGTAGAGACACTGGGGCATGGCTGATGTGGAAAGGCAGGATACAAACCTAATAAGTAGTTCCTGAGGGGTGAGGCAAATGCACTCTGCATCTGTTCAGAGCTGCTGCTGCCACCTACTCTTAACCAGAGAAGTTTCAGGGTTGTGTCCCAACATTGAAAATGCACTCCAGGACTGAGCCTTTGCTGCTGTCAAAGTCTTGGTTCCAGAGAACTGTAACTACTGTATTTCCTGCCAGTAATTGGAGAGCCACTATGAGTGTGAGCACACACATTCCATCTAGGAGATGCCTGCACCACTCCAGAGGGAAGAACTGGATTGTTTTGTGTCCTTTCTTCATCCGTCTCCATTCCTGGTCCAGCAGCAATATTTGGCTCATCATGCTGCTTCTCTCCCACAACAAGCCACAATCTCTTCTCAACAGCTTTTCATTTTTTTTGGTTGCGGCAAAGTGGTGGAAGAAAGCTAAAATCTAGTTAGGTAAATTTTAGGTAAATTTTAGTCTTTGGACTTTGAACCTCTTTGCTAGATGCCAATGTGTAATTACTTCACTTATTTTAAAATATGATAAGTCATTCCTGCTGTGTGTGTGTGGCTTCTGCTCATTCCACTGTTTGTGGACCTTAACTTCTGCCTCAAAGTCCTGCTCTGTTGTTGCCACTCTAAGCTTAAGTAGATTCTAATGATTTCAAGAAAATTTTCCCAACTGGTTTTCCAGTGGAAACATCTGGAAAATGAAGGCGTGGGAATAGCTTCTGAGAACACAGAATTCAGAATTCACTATAGGGCTGTTTGCCATTAACACATTGAAACTGTTTTCAGAAAGCTTGCAGCTTTGGTCCTCTCCCTCATTTTCTGGGTGTATGATAATCCCACTTTCACAAGCCTATCATCACTTCTGCCCTTATTGCTACCTCAACCTTTGAGACAAGGTTTAACAGCAGAGCTTTCCATGCAAACCTGCTCCTAAACAATATTGAAAAGGGTGATGATACTTATGAATGGCCTCAAAGTTCTAGGTGCTTTACAAAAACTGTGAGTTAAAAACAAGCCCTGGTCTCAGGCTTTCAATGTAGTAAGGTTATACGAGTTTATGTGTGCATCACACAAACTCCTATGATTATTAAATCTGACAAGTCAATTACTTGAGAATAATGCATATTCTCAATAGCATTCACAGGAATGGGCACACCTGCCAATACAAACTTTAGTGATCAATATTGTTTTGCAGTTGGTATCCTGATGGCAGTATTTCACTTGTCAGGGTCTCAGTACTTAAGGAAGCAATTTGCAACTGAATCCAAAGAGCTAGTAAATCCAATAAACTGCCTGTAAATTAGATGCACACTTATAAAGGTTGCCTTTTGATATCTGTTTTAATGGCTGAGCTTACTCACTAGAGCTTGAACAACAATAGATTCCATCTCTTATGAATTCTGGTGTTGTCCTAATGTGTTTTAGCCACTTTGATTTTTTTTGTATTACTATTATTATTATTGTGTTGATAGCTTAGCCATCCTTACCCAAACTGAACATGTCATTTGCTAGCTTTTGTACATCATTTTTTTCCCGGACGTGCAAGGTCAACATCTAATGGTGACAAAATTGTGCATGCTTTTGATTTGCACAGCATTTTAGAGGAGCCTATGAATCTCTTATAAAGTTAAATAGGGGGATGGGCTGGAAAGGAGCTAGCAACACAGGAAACAGAGATACTGAATGTGTATTTTTGGTGCAGCAGATGGCGCCATTTCCTCTAATAGCCCCTCTCTGGCAGAATAGGATCCTGGGCATTGAAGATGCTGCATCAGTGCTGTAGAAGTCAGGGTCATAAGATAGGTGCTAATTTGCATTTCTCTTTGTAATTCTCTCCCCCCTCCCCTGCAGTTTCTTCATAGGGTAAGCACAGCCACAGGATTTTCAGACATCTGAGTTACATGCTGTACTGTAAAACTATTGTGCTATTTCGCTCTTAGGTATCCTGAACCTCTTTATGTATATACACCTAGTTGGAGATGTAGTTGCTGTTAGCCTGTGAAACTTAAATGAATGAAACAAACTATATAGATATAAAGTCAGGCCTTTTTTCAGCTGGAACTCACCGGAACTCAGTTCTGGCACCTCTCAGGTGGGTACCATTGCCATTATAAGAGAACAAGGGAGGCGTTCATGGTGAGTTCTGGCACCTCTTTTTCAAGAAAAATAGCACTGTATAAAGGCCATGTTATTCAGCAAAGCTGGGATGCTAG